TGAGTCACACCCACTCTACATCTGAGTCACACCCATTGTACATCTGAGTCACACCCATTGTACATCTGAGTCACACCCACTGTACATCTGAGTCACACCCATTGTACATCTGAGTCACACCCACTGTACATCTGAGTCACACCCACGGTACATCTGCGTCACACCCATTGTACATCTGAGTCACACCCACTGTACATCCACACCCACGGTACATCTGCGTCACACCCATTGTACATCTGAGTCACACCCACTGTACATCCACACCCATTCATTGAAGGGCCACGAATAGTAGTATGTAGTGCGTGCGTTCATCTCGTTAATTCAAGCGGGACTGTCAGATTGGTTAGAATTGGCAATACAGAAGACCGGCCTGTTCGTCCATGCATGTTTTAATCAGAATGGGTTTGGGCTGTGTGTTGCTATTGTGACCATGCGGTCAACATTATAACTGGGGACCTATTCTCATTACTTACCTCTACAGTATCCAAATCAAATGAGCCAGTGAGTGAATATTGTTCAACGCCGCAGTCCGCTTTATTCACAAACCATGGATACTTTTATCTGCAAGGTCTAGTTAGTGTCTGCACGCATGAGCAACGATCCGAGCGGTCGCGGTATGATGCCACACAATCAACCAAGTCCAAAGCCTTAATTACGACCCGATCCCATTTCGCCGACACCTTGAAGGTGCATGAGACTTGGACTGACAAGGGACGTCACTGACTGACCTGAAATAATATAATACCTGTAATTAACCTAAATTTCGGAATAACCAGACCGCTCCGAGGTCTTGTGGATCATGCATCTGTCCGGAGAGCGGAAGAGCAGGGATTCGTCATACTAAAAGACGACAAATGATGTTACTTGTTGTTACCCTGCCTGGTGCTCGGCAGTAAGGGAATGAAAAGAAGGACTGGCCCGCTCCGAGTAAGTGTAGTGTGAGGTATCCATGTTATAACTGTGGCATGGGCTATAACTATGAAACCGGCATTGATATTTATCTGGGTTAGTACAAACACACGCACGCACGCACGCACGCATGCACGCGCGCGCGTACATGAACATCGCTCTATGGAACAACTCAGGGGAGGTAAGCCACGTTGGTAGTGAGTCCTTTCTAGGGCTTCGGCCCTGCCTACCAGTCGAGCACATGTAGCACATGTGGCGTCCCCTTTGGCAAGTGACTTTGATAAAATATACCTCAGTTCTGCCAGCAGTGAATGGGTACCCGGTATGATGAAATAGTATATGATGTGACTGTTAACCTTCTATAGCGCCTCACAGGCAACTTGGGTTGTATGGTCCCCAGGGAGCTGAGAATGAAAAATCGAGTGTATACTGATCCACTGACAGGGATACTAATAATGCAGAGTTTCGAGCATGAATTGCTAATGGAGTAGGGGCTTTCAGGCTGACTAGTATTAATCTTTAACACCACGTTAAACCCCATTTCACCTCACATCGGAATAAACCACGATCTTATTGTTTTGTTGAGGCCATTTAGCATTTCATCTTTTCCATACCGTAATAAAAGCTTGTTAAAGATGTGGAGGCTGCCGCCCCCTTTGCTGCGCGTGATTCAAGGATCTAAACTGGGCGGCAACAGAAAGTAAAGGTCGAGTTCCATGATCGTTAAAAAAATAGCAAGAAGAGGTTTTGTTGCGAATTATAATATAATCTAGGGAGGGGTAACAAAAGATTGATCAACCACAGTTTGAATAAACATTGTCAGGCACACTACAATTTCATTGTCGACACAGTTGCCTTCAATAGCGTGTATGACGCCCAGCTGCCTTAATGCATGCTGTGATACGCCGCCTCATCGATGACGTCAGTCTTCTGATGACGTGGACTGGAATCCGTTGCCACTCGTCTCTCAGGGCCTGCTGCAATTCTTGTCTGTTGACGGGAGGCTGATGGCGTGTTCTAATCTGTCTGTGAAGATGGTCCCACAGATGTTCAATAGGATTCATATCGGGTGAGTGGGCAGACCAGGGCAAAACGTCAACATTCTGCTGGTTTAGAAAGTTCCGAGTCAGTCTTGCAGTATGGGGCCTGGCATTGTCGTGTTGAAACAATGTCCCCTGCTGTTGGTTTTGTAAGAACGGAAGCACAACTGGCTGCAACACTTGGTCTCTGTACTGCACAGCGTTCAGGTTTCCCTGTATAATTACCAAATCAATCTTCTGATCTCCACAAATACCGCCCCACACCATGACACCTCCCCCGCCGAATGGATGGACCTCTCGAATACACGCCGGAGCCAATCGTTCCCCTCCGCGTCGATAAACTCGTTCTCTGTCGTCATTTCGAAACAAGTTAAATCGACTTTCATCAGCACACAGCACTCGACGCCAATATCTCACTTGCCAGCGTCGAACCTGCCTCGCCCATCGCAGTCTCAGGCGTCGATGTTGAGCAGTCAGTACCATTCCTCGGAAAGGACGATACGCTCGGATTCCAGCAGCACGAGGTCGTCGTAGTACTGTACGTTGGCTACTGGGATGTCCCAACGCTGTTGCTGACGTCGCCGCCGCCGCCGCCGTCGCCGTAACGAATCTGTTTCGCAGGTGAATGAGCCGTACCTGACCGTTTTCCAGTGGTGTTGTCACTCGTGGTCGTCCGGTTCTAGGCCTGTCCTGTGTCCTCCCTGTCTGCCTGGCTACTGTCAGTGGTGTACAATCAAACCTTCGGGCAATTTGGACCTGTGTTGCCCCCATTTCGGCCATACTCTCTCTCTCTGTCATGTGACAGTCGTGGCATTTCTTTTGTGTGCTTTCATCATGTGTGGTTATACCCTGCAGACGAACGCATTTATACAGCTAACAGTTTATGTCATAGGCGGGAAACCTGTTTCACCATTTTTTTGTCACCGCACGAGCGCCGTGAAAGGTGGCGCGTTCGGGCGAGGTTTTTTTTGGTACCTGTTCCTGGGCAGTCATATTCCCAATACCAACTTTCCACTAGTTATCGCTGTTTTTAGGAAAATTACAAATTGCCAACCTATACTTTCTTTTGCCGCTTAGTTTATTCAGATGATATACGGGACACAGCAGTGTGGTACACGCGATACGCAAATATCTTCGTATTTGCGACGCAGATTCAACATTTCTTTTAAAATGATTGTGTACTAAATCTCTTTGTTATATATTTTATTTTTTTATATTGTTTCAGTAATTTAACTTCAAATCGCACCCTTTTCTCAGTGGTTTTAAGATTTGTGTTAAATAGTATATGCGGTTCAGACATGAGCAATGACACTCAGAGTGAAAACTTAAATGGTATTCCGAATTTTGGGGAGGGGGGTGACTATGCTTGTCGTAAGAGACGACTAACGGGATCGGGTGGTCTGGCTCGCTGACTTGGCTGGTGTATGTCATCGATTCCCATTTGCGTGGATCGATGCTCATGATGTCAATCACTGGATTGTCTGGTCCAGACTAGATTATTTACAGACCGCCGCCATATAGCTGGAATATTGCTGAGTGCGGCGTTAAAAACAAACAAACAAACAAACAAAAATGTTAAATGTATATGTGGTCAGGTTTTATTATCCGTTTGTTTAAACGCTTCTAACAAAGTGTAATAACAAATCATTAGTCCATGAAACAAATGTCAAATGATACGATGTAAGGACTGTCATGCTCGTTTTAGATGTACGGGTTTTGCCAACAAAATGTGCTAAACTTCACCACACACAGCTGATTTCGCCAAGGGAGGTAATCAGCGGATGTAAAGCTGGCAGTTGTGATTTATTGACGATGAAAGTGAATCTTGTACTCGAATAGGGTACAAGTTGGGTCTGATTCAATTGTTTGTTAACAAGGACACACTCAACTCATAACATCTGACATTTTGTCAAACGCCGCCAAAGCATGTCTTCTGGAGTGTTAAATAATTTTGAGTATCTGGTACTATCCTGAATCTATCTGCAATGTATCTTGCAGTTTTCACTTAGTCTGGTTAAATATATATAACAGCAAACAGTAGATTTGACACCTGTCATCATGTCATATATTAAATGTCAGACGTTTAAATGAAGTGAATGTCGTGTATTGTGCAGGTTTTTAGGTAATATATTATAACAATTTAAGATCATTGGATTATTTCATTAAAATGATTGCACTAGGCGATGTGCAATGCATTTACGTATTACCAATATTTCATAAAGTCAACAAATTAAAATAAGATTTTAACTACACCATGTTAACAGAATGTCGGCCAACAAGCCCGGCCGTTTTGTATATCGTGGTGTTAGCTAATTAACATGTCTGCAACATCAGTGATCTGTCTCAGAAAAGTGAATGAATGTAAAACATGATTTAACGCGGCCTTGAACAGTATTTCATTGTTACATTAAAACAAGTTCCAGTAGATAAAAACAACTGCAGTGTTCAACTCGTAGAGCGCGCGGCACCATACATTTTACGAATGTTTCATACAGTTGTGTTTGACGCGCTAACAGTGTTATTGTGGTGCGCCTTTTTCATCCGGGTATTCGGGAGTGACCTGGAAATCTCGGAGGAACCAGATGCTGTTTTGGAGGTTACACACACACACCTGCTTAGGCAGAGTTGGGGCTTGCTCACTATCAACATGCACCGATGTATTGAATAAGCAAGGTTTTCAAGCATCGTACTAAGTAGTCCAGTGAGTGAATTGGGTTTAACGCCGCTTTTAACAGTATTCCAGTTATTTCACGGTGTGTCAGCTTAATGTGGGAGGAAAGCCCAAAGTGATGCAGGGCTCAGACGTTTACCACTTTGGTGAAACCCACGAGCACGGGTGTGGTCAGACCTAGAAACATAATCGTGGCGAACCAGAATTCGAACCCACGATCATAGGTTTCTGGTATGCCCAAGGGACGCAACTCACCGCTGCGAATTGCGGCGCCTCAGACGCCTGGGCCACTCGTAGCCCCATAAAGTATTTCAGCTACACACAAACACATGTTTGCCTTGTGGGGCTTTCATTTATATAGGGGACGTTTTGTACACAGATTAGTTTGATATATTTTATTGAATAAAATAAGGGAGTGAATACAAGTAATTACAGCGTAATAAAACAATTCCACTACAATGTACAAGAAAACTAGAAATGACTTTCATACTGAGAAAGAGATTGATGGGCCATTTTGTCATTATGTACAGGTTTTAGTTCCTGCTGTATACATCTCCCTTGGATCTGCTTTACAAACAGTGATATGTTGAATGAAAGTGAAGAAGAGCTCCATTATACCAGATAATCAAATACATATGAGATCACAGTTCAGTACATGAGCAAGGATATACACGTGTAGTTTAATAATACTACAGGAGTTTGAAGATCTGCTTAAAAATATAATACTTTGGAACACCCGAACACCCAGAGAGAGAGAGTGAGAGAGAGAGAGAGAGAGAGAGAGAGAGAGAGAGAGAGAGAGAGAGAGAGAGAGTGAATGGGAGAAAGAGAGAGAATGGGAGAGAGGGGCAGGCTTAGAAAGAAAGGCAGGCTTAGAAGAACACATTATACTAAAGGTGTGTCATTTAATATGAACGGGTTATTGTTAACACATAACATCCACTGTAAGAACAGTTAGCTGTTCAGGCGTCGAAAGCCATTATGCCTCTTTATAATGTATTCAGGAAAAATAGTTGTGTGTCTTTTTTCACAATTTTGAAGGCAAATTTATGCCTATACTTTTGTATGGTTCTGATATATGGGGTGCTAAGTATTACGCTGCAAATGAAAAAGTTCACACTTCATATTTCAAATATTTTCTCGGTGTTGGTATGGTTGTCTCAAACAAGGCAATCCTTGGTGAAACAGGCCGTAGTAATATTTTTGTAGCCAGCCAATTAAGGGTGATTAAGTATTGGATTAAGTTACTTAGAATAATGCCTGACAGATATCCATATCAGTGTTACAAAATGTTAAAGGTACTTGATGATAGTGGTAAAAATAATTGGGCTTCAGAAGTGAGAAATCTAGTATTTGTCAGTGGCTTTTCACATGTACGGATTTCCCAAGATGTGGGAGATCTACAGTTATTTTTATATTCATTGATGCAAAGACTTAAGGATATATTTTTGTCAACAGTGGCACAAGAGTATTTCTGAATCACTTTATCTTAGCAATAACAGCAAAGTAAAATCATTGTTACAAAATGAAAGATATTTAACTTGTTTAAATGATAAAAGTTTAATAAGGGCTTATTGTAAACTTAGAATTTCATTCCACAATTTTAATGTAAATGTATGTCGCAGGTCCAAAGACGGAGATATTGTGAGCTCTATTTGTACAAACTGTTCATCCGGAGAAGTAGAAGATGAATACCATGTCTTACTTATATGTGAAACATATTCCCATTTAAGGTATAAATTTCTCCCCATGTTGTAAGGTATTTTTAAAGACCGTCAGATAATGATAAATCTGCTAAACTCTGAAAAACATGATATGATCCATGCTGTTTCTGTATTCTTAAAACATGTCTTTATAATGAGGAATGTGTAACTAGTTTTAAAATCTAATCTTTCACATCACGTGACAAATGTTAATGTCCAATCTGCCTAAATTACTGAATAAACTGTCTGTCAGTCTGACTGTAAGAACATCACAAAGCTATTTTGTATGAATCAAAAATAGTCTAACTTAACCGCAATCTGATTGGTTTTAAAAATTGGATTTTGTAACGAAAGGTTTTATGAAATAAAATAAGAACACATATGGGACCGATGTGGAGTCCCAAGAGAGTCCAGGGCAGTTAGTACACACGCTCTAGAGTGTTGAAAGCATACACAGAGTTAGTCAATCCTTGACAAATAGGACGAAGGTAAATATTTAAATCCTTTTTTCCAGTTTCAATATAATACTATTAAAACCAACGTAATTTCTCAAGAAGTCTAGTCTAGTCTAGAAGTATTTGTTCTGATGTTATAATAACCAGGAAACCCGTGGCATATTGGCGATACTTTGGCTTTGTTAGAAACCCGATAGAGAGTCAGTGCCTATAGACCAGATGGTTGTCAGCGGCAAGACGGTGGTCTAAAAGAGAGTGTCAGCCCCATGTGTTCCTCTCTGGGGCGAGGAGCCTCGTGACCGGGCAGCATATCGAGTTTCATCCGGCCACTCATCACCTGGTGCGGCTGGAATCTGTAACGTCATTTCCGCTTCCGGCTCCACTGTTCGTTGTCGGCTCTGCCGAACAATTCGACGGATAGAAGATTCGCCATCAAATGAAGGAGGCGACGCATCCTTCTTTTCAGCTGCAAGTGCCCGCATGGCAAATGATTTCAGCCTTGGCTTTGGGCTGCTTGTTACAGGATCTTGGCTGCTTGACGATGTTGGCCTATTTGGACTGGCTTCCTCGCCATAAGGGTCGCTAAGACTGACCCGATTTGAAGCATTTCCATCTGCCTTGTCAGCTGGATGTAAAGCAGATCGTCTCGTGACCTGTGAACCGAGTGGTTGAGGTGCCAGCCCTTGCTCTTGTCTCTTCTGTCTAAGCCGTGCTTTCACAATGTCAGCAAAGGACATCGGTTGCTTACTATGAAGTTGTTTGTCAACGTTCAGTTTTTTCACAATAGCCTGCCATTTCTGTCCCTTATCGATGACCTTATCTTTAAAGGCTTCATTCGATTGGGCCATTTTGACAATAGTAAACAGAGATTTACGTTCAAAGCCTTTAAATCTTTTACCAGCTTCCTTCTCAGCTTCCTCTTTGGAATCATGCTCTTGCTCTTCCTTCATTTCTGTAACTAGTTTCTTGAAGTTTTTCATAAAAGCTCTGTTCAGTGTATGATGGACTCGAATTCCCTTTCTGCGTTCTCTCATCTGCCCCCACAACTCCCTTCCTCTGCCTTTCTTCCCAGAACCCTCCTCATCCTCATCTGAGTAATCAGGGGGCAGTTCGTCGGTACTGACTATGGATAATGTGTCATCATCCCTGATCAGCTGCATATCCCGGACAAGGTTGATGGTCTCCTCAACGGTGGGCTTCCTGTCACTTTCCTTGGATACATCCAGCTTGCCCCTGAACAAATCAATCTTAGTTATAGCAGCGATGTGTAAGAACGTAGAATATCTGTGGAACATCATTGCAATGAACTGTATAGTAAGCATGACCCCGAACACGAGAGTGAATGCAACTGATATTGGCTGTATTTGCTCGGGTGTTACGTTATCATCATTACAAGGTATTTCTATCTTCAGCTGTGGAGTGTACTCGGCCACTGACTCCAGGGCAAACAGAAGGATTATGAAAAGGGCGTTGATGAGAAGAAAGGCGAGACACACGGTGTTTCTCAATTCCAAAAGGTCTTCTTTCATTTTCTTCTCATTCTTTTCATCTTTGTCCAGCGGAAATAGGTACTTCCCGATGAGTTCATTCCAAAAGCGTATCTCTTCATCATTCACCAGCTCCTTAGGTCCTGCTAAAATATCTTCATCCTCCATCCAGTAGGGGTCTCTCAGCTCATCTCTCACCATCTTCTTTTCCTCATCGAATACTGGATTGACTGAAGAATAAAACGTAAAAAATAAGTATTCTACAACAATATTCAGTCTTTATTTTACGGCTGTCTATGTACCTGTCACCACTGTTCGAAATAGCAGCCTGCCCGCTGGCGAAATGCCAGTGACTTTTAAATTGGGCTAGTAACATTTCCGTAAAGCTAGCCTGACTGTCTAGTTGAAAATTATAGCCAATACTCATTTATTTCTAGTATTTTCTACGAATCATCTGGTCAGGTAAGGTGTTATTTAATGTCAACGACTGTTGTCATTTCGTAGTTCATCAGAAACACATGTGAAGTAATAAATTGGGTTTTTATGATTATGATTATGATCATGACTGATGTGCACGTAAGACTTTTCAGCTTCGCCGTTGATTAGTATAATAATTCCAAGACTATGTTAATACATATTGCAAACGTCGGCCTCCATAAAGTAGCGCTAGTAATATATGATGAGGTCTTGCAAATTTGTTATTAACAAGCTCTCCTGACCATTCAACTTTGGAAACTAATTTATACACTGCCTGTCATAAAAAATAATCAATAACGTGTTTAACTGCTTGAAACACAGCAGCTGTGTACAGCAAGGTCCTACGCCCTCCAAACGATTCCTGGTTATTACAGATAAGAATGCTCCATTACCTTTGTCCACAGCTCCTTCAAACTGACCAACAATGCCAGAGAACGGTGTAGCTTCAGGAGCAGGATTATTGAAGGAATCGAGAGAATCAACACCACTTCGAGTCATTTCAGTCATGCGCTCGTCGAGGTCATCCAAACGCTGTAGGATGGCTTTGAACTTGAGGTCTTCATTTTTCACCCCTGGGTTAGAAGGGCAGCAGACACATCTGAACAAGTTACCGAAGGAAAATCCGTAATCAGATTCCCCTGGAGTCCCCTCGCCAATCTTTCCAAGCCACTGTTGAACCAAATTCTTTTTATTTGTACTGGGTTGTTGTTGCTTCTGTTGCCGCTGTTGTTGCTGAGGAGGTGGAGCAGCAGTTTTTACCTCCCGAGTTCCCCAAGATACGTTCTGAAGATTCCCGAGAGAGAATATCATCATCAGCACTGACATTGATGGTATTGAGAGGAAGTACAGGCCCCCATGTATGATGCACCAGAACTCCTGGGGGTGCAAGAAGGCGGACGTGACATAGATCCCCGCGACTCCAATCAAGAAGATTGTAGACACAGAGCAGAATCCACTTCGTGCAACCTGCTGTAGAATACCCACCAAAACCACCATCATCAGGAGACTGTAGACAATCGACACCAGGGAGGCGAACGACAACTGGAACCAATAATAGCCCATTTCAAATAGATGAGATACGGTTTTACATTTTTAACTAAAACCGAGGAGGAGTGTTTTATCCTTAATTTCAAATTCCAATCAGGTAATCTACAGTTCATTTCATACATGATAATAACCTGTAAATATTACATGAGTACTGTCTCACAACATATATGATATATTGATTAAAATCAGTGTGGGTTTTACGCCGCTTATAACAACTACGTCAAGACGTGCATTTTGGCAGGAATGAGGTGCTTGTCGCATCCGTATTCGGTATGATGAAATCAACAAGCACACGTATTCAAGCCAAGAACCATAGTCAGTGCAAATGAATGCTTCTAACCAATGAGCATGGGATTCTGGCACGCCCAACTCTATACAAGAGTTCGAGGGGCAAAAGAAAGTATACCGAGGTTTTTGTTGTTGATATAATTGAAAATAGAAATAACTGTTGTTAAATTTGATCACGTATAACTTACCAGTACTCAATCCTGCAACAATATGTAGAATGTATTCTGTGGCTGGGTAATTGGTTTAAAGGTCATGCAAACGTGGGTAAGACATGAATTTGCAACCACATGACCCACACCTTGTTTAAAATGAAAACTTTGTGCCAAGAAAAGCAATATAAAAATAAAACTATGTTGACCAAGCGCCAGTACAGTTCAATTCTTTTTATATCGATAACTTCAGATATTTTCAATTGCAAATCAAACGTATGATAAAATCAACTGAGAGGTATAGTTTCTTTTGCTCTTCAGTGGATGTAGATGGGAAGGATGTAGGTCTTACCTGTACGTCGGTGCTTGTTTTGAAACATAGAAGCACAAAAATGACGATTGGTATCAAGTTGATGATAAGGGAGCCATAGAGAGGAATAGTTCTGCAATAAACAAGTTCAGTAATGGATACATCTGATTTAGCATGATATGGAAAGTGTAGATTGAATTATGAAAATATTTAACAGTCATTGATAGAATACACTTTATTGTAGAGTTACCGAAACACCTAATTGTCACAGCCACTAAATGACGGGACGCCGACCATGCAGACTAAACAATGTGATGATTGGCTGTGTAGTGGGTCCCATGTTCGCACATCACATGGGTTTGACATGGGTACACTGTGTCAGGCTTATTGTTAGATTCTCGGCAGTTGTATGCTAGAATGGGGTATTCGCAGGACGTCGAACTGTTCACCAAAATTATTCGCACGATGTTCCAGTGCGGTATTCTTTGATGCTAGATCGACTTAACTGTTATTGCTTTAATGGATTGAAACTCGGGGGCCTTTTGTGAGCTATGATTATTTAGCTCATAGTCCGTCTCGGTGTGTATTGACATTTAAATTAACTCAGAAGTCTCGCCCGTGAAGGACCAGCTAAATATATACACCTTGTTTGAGTGTGTATTTGTATATGGATATTGTAATAACATATGATCAAAATAAACTGTGATGTACATCAATGCATACGCATATGTAATAACACATTTTGTTAACACTAATTATTTACTCTTTGCTATGCACACGACTGTCCTCTTAATCCGGATTGAGCCTGCTTCACTGATTTTGAGAAAAATTCGCACGACGTCCCAGTAGGGGATTAGGGGAAAATCCGTTGGTCTCCGTCCTTCGAATGAACCCCTGGCATTTTGCTAAGCCGCAAAACAAAACAACCTCGCTCACTAACTCAATAGAACAAATTACGTACGGGTAGGCAGTGGATAATGCCCCCACGATGAGCATGAAGATGGTCCCTGGAGTGATGACTGAGAAGGAAAAGAGGAACATCTGGTACAGCATGAACATGATGGAGATGTCTTCGTTGTTCTGGGATGTTCTCTTCCAGTCCATCACCAGGTCCAGAATGTTGGCCATGGTGGAAGGTGTCCAGCGGCGCCGCTGATTGAAGAACTCGAAGAAGCCTTCCGGAGCAAACGTGTAGGAGTCAGACGCAGCACAGTACTCCACTCTGTAGCCCCTCTGCAGCAGGAGGGTGCACAGCCAGCGGTCCTCTCCTGTATTCAGGACAAATTGATACAGGACGATGGACAATGCTGATTGAAGGATTCATCAGTACCTTGACCATACTGAACATAGTGACAGTACCTTGGTCATATTGAACATAGTGACAATACCTTGACCATACCGAACATAGTGACAGTACCTTGATCATAATGAACATAGTGACAGTACCTTGACCATACTGAACATAGTGACAGTACCTTGACCATACTGAACATAGTGACAGTACCTTGATCATACTGAACATAGTGCCGGGGTTCAGTGGGCGGGGTTGTATATCTCCTCATAATGTTGTCATCCATGAGAGCAGATCCCCGGAATAAACTGAAGCATCCAGGGCTGCACAAGACGCACCCCAACATGTGTTCGGTTGACTTTTGAAGCCAGTGACTGACGGCATACTCAAACTTCTGGTACCACACCATTGGGCCTGAATAAAGTGAGCAGTTTGTATTAGGCAAGCTCTACTCACGCGTGTGACCTTGTGCAGGACAAGCCTGTAACTAGTTCTGATTTAACACCTAAACAGAGAGCATGCATAAAGTAGAAGAATGACATTGATACATGTTATGCTGGGTGATCACACCACCAGGGCACGATAACACAATCAGCCAAATCGCATAGTATTGTAACCATCCGTTCTCTTACGACAACACAAATGTACTAAGGATCAATTCTGAACCCGGATCAGCACGTGGTCTTTTCAACGAAGCAATCTTAGTATGATGCCAGATACCGTTATGGTGCATGGGTTACATATTCAGTGAAACCTCATTTTTTCAAGTCGGCACCCTGGCAAATCGTCCGGATTAACGAATGTCCAGTTTAACCAATGTGTTAAAGAAGTAATTTCTCTCTCTGTAACAACTAGTATACATTGTATATAGCTGTCCGGATGCCGAGCACTAGTCCGGGAGCAAGGGTTTCCGAATCCACAAGGGTTCAATTTATACAGTATATAGCTTTGTGACAGGGGTAACATTGCGACGAGGCTTGTACCGTTGCCGATGGGGTGTATCCTGCCACAGGCAGCCCCCAGGTTGATGCTCTTCTTCATCCTGTCCACCAGGACTTGCAGCGCGTCTGGCTGGAAGTCTACATCCCCATCCAAGGCCAACAGGAATGTGTTCTCGGCGCGGATCTTCTTACGATTCAGAGGGATGTGCTCCGCCAGCAGCTGGTAGCCCAGGAAGTAGTACATGTACATCACCTTCAAAGAAAAAACAAGTATGTGTTCATCACTTTCAAAGAAAGAATAGATTCATGTACATCAGATTCACAGTAACAATAACTATGTGTACATCACCTTCACGTACATGTATATGTAGATCACCTGCAAAGAAACAACAAGTACATGTACATCACCTGCAAAGAAACAACAAGTACATGTACATCACCTGCAAAGAAATAACAAGTACATCTCCATCACCTGCAAAGAAACAACAAGTACATGTCCATCACCTTCACAGAAACAACACGTACATGTACATCTCCTTCACAGAAACAATAAGAACATGTACATCTCCTTCAAAGAAACAACAAGTACATGTACATCTCCTTCACAGAAACAATAAGAACATGTACATCTCCTTCAAAGAAACAATAAGTACATGTACATCTCCTTCACAGAAACAACAAGTACATGTCCATCACCTTCAAAGAAACAACTCGTACATGTACATCTCCTTCACAGAAACAATAAGAACATGTACATCTCCTTCACAGAAACAACAAGTACATGTACATCTCCTTCACAGAAACAACAAGTACATGTACATCTCCTTCACAGAAACAATAAGAACATGTACATCTCCTTCACAGAAACAACAAGTACATGTACATCTCCTTCACAGAAACAACAAGTACATGTACATCTCCTTCACAGAAACAATAAGAACATGTACATCTCCTTCACAGAAACAATAAGTACATGTACATCTCCTTCACAGAAACAATAAGAACATGTACATCTCCTTCACAGAAACAACAAGTACATGTACATCTCCTTCACAGAAACAACAAGGACATGTCCATCACCTTCAAAGAAACAACAAGTACATGTACAACACAAGTACATGTTCATCTCCTTCACAGCAACAATAAGTACATGTACATCTCCTTCACAGAAACAACACGTGCATGTACATCGCCTTCTCAGAAACAACAAGTACATGTACATCGCCTTCACAGAAACAACAAGTGCATGTACATCACCTTCAAAGAAACAACAAGTACATGTACATCGCCGTCACAGAAACAACAAGTGCATGTACATCACCTTCAAAGAAACAACAAGTGCATGTACATCGCCTTCGCAGCAACAACAAGTGGATGTACATCGCCTTCAAAGAAACAACAAGTACATGTACATCTCCTTCACAGAAACAACAAGTACGTGTACATCTCCTTCACAGAAACAACAAGTACATGTCCATCTCCTTCACAGAAACAACACGTACATGTACATCTCCTTCACAGAAACAACAAGTACATCTCCATCACCTGCAAAGAAACAACAAGTACATGTCCATCTCCTTCAAAGAAACAACAAGTACATGTACATCACAAGTACATGTACATCTCCTTCACAGCAACAATAAGTACATGTACATCTCCTTCACAGAAACAACACGTGCATGTACATCGCCTTCTCAGAAACAACAAGTACATGTACATCGCCTTCACAGAAACAACAAGTGCATGTACATCACCTTCAAAGAAACAACAAGTGCATGTACATCGCCTTCGCAGCAACAACAAGTACATGTACATCGCCTTCAAAGAAACAACAAGTACATGTACATCTCCTTCACAGAAACAACAAGTACGTGTACATCTCCTTCACAGAAACAACAAGTACATGTACATCTCCTTAACAGAAACAACAAGTGACAGAAAGTTTTATTGTCATTATTGCATTACTTCAGCTGAACGCAACTCTATGAACATCTCAACACATCCCCATACCTGACTCCATCTCTTCCTGTGCCTAATCTTTACTTTATCCTTGAGGTGGGCGGTGATCGTGTTTCCGCCGGGGAGTTTCCACACCAGGCGACCCCCGTAAGGGGTGGGGATACGGGTGGGGGCCGGAATCTGCATCACGGTGTTGTGTACAGCACTGGAAGAGAGATCACAAGTAATTATACATATATCTAACCACAGGCATTGCCTATTGGTGACTATAATGTGTACACAAAAATGAAACCAATTGTTGTTATTGAGTTGGGATGTACGCCGCGTTTATCAAATTCCAGCGATTTCACGACGGGGGACATATTATATTGATTAAGGGAATCGAACCCGTATCTTTGACGTTACGAGCGAACACTTTACCATCGGGCTTCCCTACCATCGTACAATAAGTATATCAACAACATATAAGGCTGCAGATAAAATGCGGTTACTAATGGATTATTAATAGGTTACATCTTGTAAAGACTTACATAAGGACAAGAAGTTATACACCCGAAAGGAGTATTGCTATTCCAAAGGAAAGTACAGTGAAAACACAAACACTATCGTTTATGTTCTCCCTCTGCTTCTCTCGAACTATTTTAACTGTAACGATCTCAGACTCACTGTGACGAATCTATGCATACCTGGCAGCAATGTTGATAACTCGGACAAGCTGTTTCACGAAGTCGTTAGCCTGATACTCGTACTCATCATGGAGGTGCGGGCCGAATGCGTCGTCAAAGAAGATATGAGCTGAAAATGACCATAAAATTGGGAAAAAAGACATCTTTAAGTCCACCCCGCTGGAATATATATTCCAAACGTATATCCGTTATGTGTAACTAGCAAAGAGAATTATGATTCATCATTTTAATAACATGTTTTACCTTCAAATTCATAGTAATCAGGATCTTCAATTTCAAAGTACACTTGGGCAGTACGGCGCGCACTTTGGTCCGTGTCCAATCTGGAAGATGCAATATTACTACTACTTATAATAATAATGATTTGTTTGTTTGTTTGTTGTTTAACGCCGCATTCAGCAATATGGCGGCGGTTTGGAAATAATCGAGTCTGGACAAGACAATCTGGTGATTGACACCATGAACATAGATCTACGCAATTGGGATGCGATGACAAGCATTGGTCACTATAATTATTAAAGAAATACACTATTCAAAAAAAGAAACGCATAGTTAAAAATAAGGATATTTATTAAGCGGATGTAAAAGTATCTACACAGTAGATGCGTGAACACAATCAAATGAAATTAGACACAGTGATCGACAAAAGCATTGTCGTGATTGTCAGCATTAATTCAGTTCAGTCATTGCACATGTGTAGCCACAAGGGGGCGTCATGGTCAGTACCTGGTCACACCACCTCTTGCAGCCGTCACTGCTCGACACCTCCTTGGCACAGATTGCATAAGTCGTCGGATTTTTTCGTGGGGAATTCTTCGCAATTCTTCCTGTAAGGCGTTGGCGAGTTGTGCCAGTGTGTGGGGACGCTGGTGACGTTGACGGACGCGTCGATCAAGTTCGTCCCACAAATGTTCAATCGGGTTGAGATCAGGCGATTTGGACGGCCATGGAAGGACATTGATGTTCTCATTAACAAGGAAATTAACTGTTGCACGTGCTGTGTGGGGCCGAGCGTTGTCATGTTGGAACAGCTCCCTCTGGCGGTCCAAAGTTCGGAGGAGGTGAGGACGCAGTATGTGGTCTATGTATCGGTTTGCTGTAAGATTGCCCTGGACAACCACTAACTGTGATCTACCCGTGTAGGCTATGGCTCCCCACACCATGACACTCCCTCCACCAAATCGATCCACCTGTCGAACGCAGTTCGGCGCAAAACGTTCACGTCGACGTCGGTATACACGTTGTCTTCCATCCCGTCGTTGAAGAAGAAAACGTGACTCGTCGCTGAACCAAACGCGTCGCCAGTTCCTGAGATCCCATTCCTGTACTCTGTTGCACCACCGGACACGTCGTTGACGGTGTAGACGTCGCAAGACAGGTCCAACTTTTGGTCGTCTCGCTCGAATTCCCACTTCCCTCAGACGATTTCTGATGGTTTGGTCGGAAATTGTTCGCATACCAGGCACTTGTCCTGCAGTGTCCGTTGCTGTAGCAAATCGATTCCGAAGGTGATGCAACCGGATGTACCGATCCTGAAAAGGGGTGGTCACTCTTGGTCTTCCACTTCTGGGATGATCTTGAGTCGAATTAGTGCGGGTATATCGATCCCATAGTCGAGATATGGTGCTTTGGTGAACGTTGAAGTGCCTTGCAACGGCAGACTGGGACTCCCCTGTTTACAAACGTCCAATGTCGATATTTCGGCCAGCTGCAGTTAATCTTGGCATTTTTCCATCTCCGTTCACGTCAGAAAATTCGTAATGAACTGACGAATTTTGTACGATCTTTCATAGTCAGTGTCTCTACTCTTATTCCAACATTTTGCACGTGCATTGTGCTAAAACTTTTTCTGAAAGCAATTTCCGTGCATCCTTTGCATTTTTACTGATAAACGTTTACAAAAAAACATTTTGAGATGTGTTTGCGCGCAATGCACAACAAACATGACATGATTAACGGGAATAAAACATAAGAATTGTCTTTATGACGATTGCTGGGGGAAAAAATCTAATTGGAATTCTCAAAACACCTATGCGTTTCTTTTTTTTGAAGAGTGTACATATTTATTATTTGTGAACAAATGATGAGGTATCTTTTATTGAACAGCTAAAAATACATATGTAATTAGCATTCATCGTCCGCTCTACCTGAATATTGATTTGAGAACTTGAACCATTTCATTCTCCGTCTCATGCCACATCGTTGCACAGATATATATCATTGGTGTGGTGTCAGTGCGAATTCTTTTCTTTGCCTTATTTGCATCAAACAGTGCTTCCTCCTCTTCTTCTGGCTGCACTTCTCCCCTGGACGCCTTCTCATGAGAGAAGATCCAGCCACCTTTTAGCTGAAGAAATAGCAGAAGAGCAGATGTTTCGTAAACTTACCATTCTGGAGACAAAGAGTTAAGTTACCCGTGACGTTATTGCTATTGTGGTAACAAACATCAGTTTGAGCGAATTCCTATTAATCCGGACTGCTACATACATGAGGTTTCACTGTATACCCAAGTGCCCCTGAGCATTACACATCAGTGCCTTACACCTGAAGATAACTGAATAACCTACCACATGTTCCTGAAGGTCTTCATCGTCCTTGCGTCTATTGAGCAAGATGGACTCCTCCAACAGAACTCCACAGAACAGGGGCTTCAGGAACAGTCTGGAACATGGACATCGTGAAGATCAGAACTGATTGTCTCCTCGTGAAGAGTTCCAGTGGGCTTACCTGTATGTGTGTATGGCAGTTCACCTGTCGCTTTCCTAATAATTAAAAGCGATTACACACTACTTCATTAGTAATTGTTATCATGCAGGAAAATGGCCAGCAAACGCATCCGAGAAAGTCATACATATTGATAAACAATGACAACCTTGTTTACATGGCATCTCGAGTGAGTTGTGTTTAAGGCTACTTTGAACGGAATTTCAGTTACACGATTTTTTTGGCGCAATAGATTAATGGATAACCAGTGCCTCGTATGAAGTGTGTCAATATATTCCCCAGGTTAAATGAAAAGAAAAATATATAAAAGTACTTCTCTGTGCTAGCCATCCTGGGGCAGCGGGGTGTGAAGATGTGTCCAGCGATGTAGATCAGGGAGATGAAGGAAGCCATTCCGACTGGGAGCCAGTACGTTTCAGTGTACTGTAGCAGGAAGTCAAAGAGGTCGTGGTTCTTCACACCCGGTATCCATGGAACATTGCAACCTAAAAAGCTTGTGATCTCATCATTGAACATGTAGGTGCTGATGAGGATGCCACTAGTAACTGGTACTGACAGAAGCAGGGGAATCGCAAAGCACCATACTTGAGCCAGAATCTTGCAGGCCGACTTGCCGATCTTGTAACACAGGATACTCGACACAATGTTGACAGTAGCCACCATGAAGGGTAGGTATGGGTGGCAGCTTGGCACTGAGACAGTTGGTGCCCCTTCCTGAGCAGAGTCAGCAATGGTGATGTCCTCGAACACCGAGCAGTTTCTTGCTGTTGGTTCCAGAACAAAGAACGCTCTGACACACTTGTTACTACCCCAGGAGAAAATCACAGCAGGAAGGGCGATTGTCAAGACTATTTTCCATAGTGAGGTAAGAAAGTAAATTTTGGATCCTCTCTTCCTGATAGATCTTTTTAGCCTTGCCAAGCAGTTGCCGTTAGATTCAGTGGAACCTCCCTTTCTCTTTTTGTGGACATAGTTATCCCACCACGAGATGGATACAAGTACAAGTGAGACTGGGATGAGGATTGCCAGCAATAGGGAATCTTTGACTGTGTAGGCCAGGTACGACCACGCCACTACTACAGCACACTGCAACGTGACCATGAAGATGTCGAAGATGGTCCGTATACATATCCTAACTTTCCCATCCTCCTTGTATTTTACCACCTCGCTGCTTTCGTCGTTGTTGAGATCGGTTGCCTCAAAGATCTTCAGCAGGCCCGGAATGATGGCCACGTTGAGCATCAGCAAGCCCGCCATGAGCGGCTCGAAGCTTGGTATGACGTAGAAGACCAGGATGACGAGGCCGATGGTGTGTAGCGTCTCGATCAAGAAGGCCTGGAAGACAATATACATGGGTGAGTCGTATGTTTGGAAAGGATAACTGCAAATAAAGGAACCCTGCTCTACAAAGCCACTTTAGTTTTAGATATAGTAAGTCGAGAGGGGGTGATGATACTTGATTTAAATTAACATCCTGCCAACATATTTACGAATGCTTAATTATGGTTGATCAAAACAGGATTAAAACCTAAAGCTCTCAGTTCCAAAGTATATTGGGCGTTGGGGTAGCCAAGTGGAAGAAAACGTTCACTCGTCACGCCGAAGACCCGGATTGGATTCTCCACAAGGGTAAAGGTTCTGCTGTCCCCCAGCCTGATATTGCTGTGATATTGCTGTGCTATTGCTGAAAGCAGCGTAAAACCATACTCACACACATCACATTAAGACAAGAAGTATCTACTGTGAGACTATCTCAAATGTCATAGGTTTATCGCTTAATTCTACCTTGAATAATTGATTCTGATTGGTCAATCAAAGGTTTCAAATCAGAATAACCACCTCTGATTGACGATAGCTGTCTATTTTCATTGAAAATAACTTTTCTTATCCATTGTTGGCTGGCATTTCAAAATAATTATATGTACAAATATGTACATTGAACTCAACCTACGATGCGTCACTAAATATCTTAGAGTTCGCGTTTAATTGTGTCATGGTACAATGAGATAACCACACTATGTAGTCACTATTCGATGTGGAGCTATTTTACATAATGTTTTTAGATTTCTTAATCTGAGGGTTCAATGTTATGTAGTCTTCGAAATAGGGGAATATGGGAACGTGTACTGGAATGGATGCGTTTGTAGTCAGTACAGTAACATTGAACACAACTAGAAAGGTAAAGCATGTAATTCATATGCAGGCTGGGTTGGGTGTAACGCCACTTTAGGCATGATTACAGCTGCATCACAGCACGGCAGCTACATATGGGAGTACATTTTAACGTGGCGCAAGCAGACCACGGAATTTGGATATGTAACAAGGATCCTAATTGGGTTGATTCGAGGATTCGAACCCACGACCAGCGATTGTTGTCACAACTATTGGCCGTAAATCTGTGCAGCGATTTGCGTCTTTCCCCACCGAGCCACCAGTGTCCTTAGCTTCACAATCAATGTCTACAAGCTAAATTTGACAATATCCTGACCCAAGAAGAGAATTCATGATATTACTTACCACTAAAAGTGGAACACATTTCAAAGGCCTGGTTGTTTTGAAAATTACTTTCCAAACACTTGATAAAGCTGTGAAGAAATATGGCGCACAGATGATGAGGATGAGAGACCAGATCCACTTGGCATCCATGTGGTGGGCGACGGTCTTCATGTCAACACGTGTAGTTGTGCCATTGCGAACATAGTTCAAGTAAAACCCCTCTGTCGGATTGATGTAAAATGTTAAAAAGAGGAAAGATAATTTGGACATTGTTGCTGAGCCCAAACATAACAGAAAGAAGGCACTGCATAACAGGACTCGTAGAAATTTATAGGACAAGTTCCATTTCTGTGTCTCCGAAAAACTGACACTTTCGTTTGATGTTTCCTTAAAAATGTCCCACTTTGTTTTCCGTGTTGCCCTGTTTGGAAATAAAAAAGTTACATACAGTTCTCACATGGTAAATGCTCAAACGTATATATATATATATATATATATATATATATATATATATATATATATATATATTTATATATATATATATATATATATATATAATAATGAAATAAGTGGAGTATGATTGAACAATATATATATATATATATATATATATATATATATATATATATATATATATATATATACAGTAATAATTAAATAAGTGGAGTAAGATTGAACACAGTTTTAAGCGCTTTCAACTCGTACCACGTACGAGTCTCATCAGGCCATAACTGAATAACGGACGTGAAGTAGTAACATAGAGGTTATCACGCGAGTGTGTTTGGGGAGGGTAAATATCCCGCATTAGGAATAAACATTGTATTTAGCGAGCCTTGGCGAGCTAAATACATAGTGTTTATTCCTAATACAGGATATTTACCATCTCCAAACACACAAGCGTGATAACCTCTTTATCATATAATGTCATTCTTTAATTCTGTCCTTCAAAATCGCTTTCCCTCTCTCACAAACATTACCGAAACATTGCGGTGACAATGGACAAATATCTTACGCTTTAACATTTAACTTAGGCGCGTATGTATGAATGAAATGTTGCTCTTTTTGAAACAATGTAGGTTCATGATCAAAATTTAACTTATATAGCGGGAAAGCTGAACCGTTGCCGCTTCCACATGTATCTAAATGTTCACTGAGTGAAACGTGCAGTTGTGTGGCTGCTTTATTTGTGAACGGTGAAGATTCATTCTTCTTTATAATTTTAGTTCTGTCTTTCCATATACTTTTCATTGCATCCACTACAAACAATCAAGTAAACAACTTTCTACTATCACAAGTCATATTTTGTTTTACAGTAAATTTAGTGTCCTTTGTAATTTGGACTGAACAGCCTTCAATTATATTAGAAACCTGTTGAGTGATGACAACAGAATCAAATTTAGAACTTGTCAAAACTTTCTAAGATTTTTGGGTTGTCTTTGGCTGTTGATAATTTTGTATTTGCTCGATATTTTCTCCATTTTTATACTTTGATTCAAAATAGGCAGGTATCGTTGAACCATGGATAATGTTTTTTTCATGATTAGGGTTGAAGGTAGATACTAGAGTTAAATTATTCCCCATATTGTTTTCTTCAGACTTTTCTCTCAGTTTTAGTTGCTCAATACTTAGCGCCTTCTGTCTGCTATCTTCAATTAGCTTTGCGGGATAATTTTGATGCAGTGGGAAACTCTTAAGTTCAGCAAGGCGGGTAGTTTTAACATCATTCCCGGAAACAATGGAACAAATACGTCTTGCAAGACAGTAAGGGCTATTACGTTTTGTATGATACGGGTGACATGATCCAAAATCCAAATATTGGTGCGTATCAGTATCTTTATAAAAGAGTTATAGTTGAAAGCGCTAGCCAGTTAAAACTGTGTTCAATCTTACTCCACTTATTTAATTATTACTATATTGTGCATGAGAGTTAGAACTTTACCGTGCTTTATATAAATTTGAATTTTCTCGTTCTTTCAATTATTTGTTTATTTTCTCGAAATTCCGATTTTTTCGTTACTTCGGTCATATTTTCGTAATTTCAATTATTTCCCCGTTATATCAAGTTTATTTCACAAACTCGAAATTTAGAATTATCTTCTCGTTATTTCAAGATTTAAACTTGGAATAACGAGAAAAACTCAAAGACACGTGAAAATAATAAGTAACGAGAATGAACTCGATAATTGAGATAACGAGAAACTTCGATTAAAATAAACAAATTAATACTACCAAAGTGGCACCATTAGGCTTTCGTAGTAACCACACACTCGCCCGCTTGCCCATCCGTCCACCCAACCACACTCATCCAGTCAACTCACTCAATGATTCACTCACTTTCGCCCAAAACACTGACTGACTCCCTCACACACTAGCAAGCGGAGTTACATACCTTGTAGATGGTTCATCTGTCGTCTCGGGTTCGCAAATGACCACGTTGTGGACAGTCTGTCGTTGGTCGGGGCTCTCTGCGTCACTCTCGTCAGAGCCATCATAGTCAGGGTTTTCATGAAAGGGGTCGTTCTCGGGAGAGTCTCTTCCAAAACCAGCGTTGGCATAGCTCCCGTCCCATGCTGCCCCTCCCGAACGGCCATAGTCGTCCCTAGGGGGCTGGGTTATTGGTGTGCGCAGAAAGCCAGTGCGGACTGGTCGCTCCTGGGGACAGAATGCAGGATCTATGAAGATCGTTATCGGTGAAAATTTGATATTCGAACCCACGCAACGAATGCCCTCTCCATCGCCTCGGAGTCAGTATACTGTGTCTCAGTGGGGTATTCATGTTAAACTGCGGCATGGTATCTCAGTGAGCTAGCACTATGAATCGGCATCAGTCCGGACTTGTACAAGCAGCCACACACACACATACACGTGCATGCACGTCGCTTTATAAGTTGCAATAATCTTGGACGCGACGTTAAACCCCATTTCACCTCACCTTCAGTGTGGGACAGGACCGAAGCCCTAGAAACTATCAGGAGTCAAGCTGCTGAACGCGGTCACCCATCCAACTACTCCCCGAGACCGATGCTGCGTCCCCTGATTTGTGACCTGTGTCCCCACAAAAGAGCTTGAACTCATCGAAATCCGTGTTGGTATGTGTAACATGGTTGAAGATCGTGTTTTGATTCAAGGACACTTACCAAAAACACTATTTTATAACAAATACAATTTTTTTTTAGAAATCTAACCAATATTCAATATAATATTGATAGTGTTGCAAACTTCAAATAACTTACGTTTCATTGACTTCGGCGTTTGCTTCAACAATAGCTGAAGCTAACTCTAAATGTTACTAATCCTCAGCGTATTTTCTATTTTCTTATGACAAAATGATGATCATAAATCCATAGTGTTACTTCTCATCACATCTGCATTGCACAATGTATAAATATTTTATTGATGTTTATATCTATTGTTATCTTTGAATGTTTATTCGTCTTTGTTACATTGAAGTTCATGATAGAATGAGAACTATATGGATGTAGCAACAGTTTGTGTATTTACTGTCGTGTCGTGTCATGGCAAGTCACACAAAGAGATGACACATGAAGTACATTTGTATTGTTTCGCTGATGCGTGAAAGAAAATTGTTATTTTTGCGGAGAACAAGTCGGGGCGATTCAAAACATGAAACTACTCCCGTATAAAGACTATGGGCATATCCCCTGGACGTTTCCGTATACAAACTAGGGGCATATCCCCTGGACGTTTCCGCATACAAACTAGGGGCATATCCCCTGCACGTTTCCGTATACAAACTAGGGACATATCCTCTGGAGGTTTCCGTATCAAACTAGGGGCATATCCTCTGGACGTTTCCGCATACAAACTAGGGACATATCCCCTGGACGTTTCCGTATACAAACTACGGGCATATCCCCTGGACGTTTCCGTATACATACTAGGGACATATCCCCTGGACGTTTCCGTATACAAACTAGCGACATATCCCCTGGACGTTTCCGTATACAAACTAGAGACATATCCCCTGGACGTTTCCGTATACAAACTAGGGGCATATCGCCTGGACGTTTCCGTATACAAACTAGGGGCATATCCCCTGGACGTTTCCGTATACAAACTAGGGGCATATCCCCTGGACGTTTCCGTATACAAACTAGGGGCATATCCTCTGGACGTTTCCGTATACAAACTAGGGACATATCCCCTGGACGTTTCCGTATACAAACTACGGGCATATCCCCTGGACGTTTCCGTATACAAACTAGGGGCATATCCCCTGGACGTTTCCGTATACAAACCAGGGGCATATCCTCTGGACGTTTCCGCATACGAACTAGGGGCATACTTCCTGGACGATCATATATACAAACTAGGGGCATACCCCCTGCACGTTTCTCCTGATCGAGCATGTATACAAACTAGGGGCATATCCCCTAGACGATCATGTATACAAACTAGGGGCATAACCCCTGGACGATCATGTGTACTAAATTAGGGGCATATCCCCTGGACGATCATGTATACAAACTAGGGGCATATCCCCTGAACGGTTATGTATACAAACTAGGGGCATATTCCCTGAACGATCATGTATATAAACTAGGGGCATACTCCCTGGACGATCATGTATACAAACTAGGGGCATACTCCCTGGACGATTCTGTATACAAACTAGGGGCATACTTCCTCGACGATCATGTGGACAAACTAGGGGCATATCCCCTGGACGTTTCCGTATACAAACTAGGGGCATATCCCCTGGACGTTTCCGTATACAAACTAGGGGCATATCACCTTGTCGTTTCCATGTACAAACTAGGGGCATATCACCTTGACGTTTCCGTATACAAACAAGGGGTATATCCCCTGCACGTTTGCGTATACATACTAGGGGCATATCCTCTGCACGTCTCCGTATTTAAACTAGGGGCATATCCTCTGGACGTTTCCGTATACAAACTAGGGACATATCCCCTGGACGTTTCCGTATACAAACTAGGGACATATCCCCTGGACGTTTCCGTATACAAACTAGGGGCATATCCCCTGGAAGTTTCCGTATACAGACCAGGGGCATATCCTTTGGACGTTTCCGCATACGAACTAGCGGCATACTTCCTGGACGATCATATATACAAACTAGGGGCATACCCCCTGCACGTTTCTCCTGATCGATCATGTATACAAACTAGGGGCATATCCCCTAGACGATCATGTATACAAACTAGGGGCATATCCTCTGGACGATCATGTATACAAACTAGGGGCATAACCCCTGGACGACCATGTGTAGAAACTAGGGGCATATCCCCTGGACGATCATGTATACAAACTAGGGGCATATCTCCTGATCGATCATGTGTACAAACTAGGGGCATATCCCCTGAACGGTTATGTATACAAACTAGGGGCATATTCCCTGAACGATCATGTATACAAACTAGGGGCATACTCCCTGGACGATCATGTGGACAAACTAGGGGCATACTCCCTGGACGATTCTGTATACAAACTAGGGGCATATCCCCTTGACGATCATGTGTACAAACTAGGGGCATATCCCCTGAACGATAATGTATACAAACTAGGGGCATATTCCCTGGACGATCATGCATACAAACTAGGGGCATATCCCCTGAACGATCATGTGTACACATAGGGGCATATCAACTGGACGATCATGTGTACAAACTAGGAGCATATCCCCTGGATGATCATGCGTAGAAACTAGGGGCATATCCCCTGAACGATCATGTATACAAACTTGGGGTATATCCCCTTGACGATCATGTATACAAACTAGGGGCATACTCCCTGGACGATCATGTATACAAACTAGGGGCATACTCCCTGGACGATCATGTGTACAAACTAAGGGCATATCTCCTGATCGATCATGTGTACAAACTAGGGGCATATCCCCTGGACGATCATGTATACAAACTAGGGGCATATATCCTGATCGATCATGTGTACAAACTAGGGGCATATCCCCTGGACGATCAGGTATACAGACTAGGGGCATTTCCCCTGATCGATCATGTGTACAAACTAGAAGCATATCCCCTGGACGATCATGTGTACAAACCAGAGGCATATCCCCTGAACGATCATGTGTAAAAACTAGGGACATATTCCCTGGACGATCATGTATACAAACTAGGGGCATATTCCCTGGACGATCATGCATACAAACTAGAGGCATATCCCCTGAACGACCATGTGTACACATAGGGGCATATCAACTGGACGATCATGTGTACAAACTAGGGGCATATCCCCTGAACGATCATATATACAAACTAGGGGTATATCCCCTTGACGATCATGTATACAAACTAGGGGCATACATCCTGGACGATCGTGTATACAAACTAGGGGCATATCCCCTGAACGATCATGTATACAAACTTGGGGTATATCCCCTTGACGATCATGTATACAAACTAGGGGCATACTCCCTGGACGATCATGTATACAAACTAGGGGCATACTCCCTGGACGATCATGTGTACAAACTAAGGGCAAATCTCCTGATCGATCATGTGTACAAACTAGGGGCATATTCCCTGGACGATCATGTATACAAACTAGGGGCATATATCCTGATCGATCATGTGTACAAACTAGGGGCATATCCCCTGGACGATCAGGTATACAGACTAGGGGCATTTCCCCTGATCGATCATGTGTACAAACTAGAAGCATATCCCCTGGACGATCATGTGTACAAACCAGAGGCATATCCCCTGAACGATCATGTGTAAAAACTAGGGACATATTCCCTGGACGATCATGTATACAAACTAGGGGCATATTCCCTGGACGATCATGCATACAAACTAGGGGCATATCCCCTGAACGACCATGTGTACACATAGGGGCATATCAACTGGACGATCATGTGTACAAACTAGGGGCATATCCCCTGAACGATCATGTATACAAACTAGGGGTATATCCCCTTGACGATCATGTATACAAACTAGGGGCATACATCCTGGACGATCATGTATACAAACTAGGGGCATACTCCCTGGACGATCATGTGTACAAACTAAGGGCATATCTCCTGATCGATCATGTGTACAAACTAGGGGCATATCCCCTGAACGATTATGTGGACAAACTAGGGGCATACCCCTTGACGATCATGTATACAAACTAGGGGCATATCCCCTGAACGATCATCACTTCCTGATGAGCAGGACTTCCTGGTACGAGTAATACTGACATTTTAGAATAGGGCTAACCCCCAGTGCACGTACTTGCTGATTACATAAGGAACACAAATGAAGTAGCACTGGTGTTATATCACGTGCGCATGTCAAATAGATAAGTTTCTGCTCAATTTGAACTAAACTTCATGATGGAATACTGTTTAAACTTAGATTATTTATGCAGGCCTCTATACTAGTTGGCTTTGGATCCATAGTACCAGAATCATTTTCCCGAGGCAAGGGAGTGGAGTGATTTTAACTCCCTTGCCTCTGGAAGATGTACGAGTAATTGTTTTTTTCAGTACTGAAAATCATTATGATATAAGATAAAAAAACCTGAGGAGTGGTCGCTCATTTTGAGTCAGCTGATAGTTATTTACAATCCTACCAACAGAGTTTTGACATTCCGTAAGGCACTCGGGGTCGGTTATGGGTAAAACGTTAAAAAAAAAAAAGGTTTTATATTTGATT